TTCATGCAGGAGACATAAATATGTGGGAGTTTTAGGCATCTCACATTACTCTGAACATATATTCCCCCATGATGAAACATAGTGGTGGCAGCTTCATGCTGTGGGGATGCTTTTCCCTCATTGAGAAAACAATGCTAGTACCAGATGATGGAAAGATGCATAAATTTAAGACAACAATTGGAGGTAACCTGTAAGAGGCTGGGAAGGAGGTTCACATTCAGCAGAAAAATAAGCATTAGATGGAACTAGAGCTGTGATGGCATGGCCTAGTCAAAGTTCAGATCTAACTACAATTGAGCGTTTGTTTTAAGCATTGAAACTTGGTATTTTAGTCCACCCTGACTGATCTTGAACTATTACTTAGAATCTATCATATAAAAGAGATAACAAACAATAAACACTGAATAAATCAAAATACCTTCACAGGAGAAAATATATGTGGGTGAACATAAAGAAACTTTACTTTTATGTTTAATATGATTTCATAGGATCCTAAATACAGTGAGGGTTTACCTGGTAGAGCTGCACAGTACAAATCCCATCTCTTTGTGGAACCTTCCTAGTGTGCCTGCTGCCAGATTTTTAAAAAGGAAGGTTGTCAGCTCCAAACAGCACAGAAGTTGGGAGCAGGAATTTTCCAAATGTCTTGTTCATGAACCATTTAAGCCTTTTGGAATAACCAACCCCTAATGAAAAACAACCAAACCATAACCCCCGTCCACAAAACAATAACCTTTGGTACATATGCAGTCAGAGTTTGCCCTTGGCAAACCGTTCAATCAAACCCTAAAGCAAATTTCTAGATGGGATAGAGCGTCGATTTTCGTCACTAATTAGAAAAACACTTATAAATCTGCCCCTGTCCCGTGGCGGCTAAATTTTTTAAGTTTGCTAACATCCGAACGCTTTCATTGTTGTATGTAAATGTGTTGGTGCGGCATAAACCATAAAACATGTGCTGAAGCTGATGCTGTGCGCACTTTTTTTTTCAAAGCTGAAGGTATAAAAGTTTGGAGGGCTGGGTTTTTTAAAAAGGTTTTAAAAAGGAAAACTTCCTACAAAGTTGGCGATCCTCTTAGACTTATGGCCGTCAAAACCCCGCCCAAATCCAATGGTTTTCGGGTCGGGTTTACGTGTAGCACTTCGTGGGACATCTTCTTTCGGGGTTTCCAAACAGTTCCATTGTCCTTCTCCACTGGGCTCTACGGTTGGACTGTGGAATACTCCCAGGAGCGAGGAAAATTTCCAGCCACCCATGGCTTTTGATGAGAGGAGCGCAGCCTACTCCAGTTTCCCCCCCGGCTGTGAAATTTTCCCCCCTAGCTCCTAAGGAGCCCACCCCATTTCCCTTTTACTTATCTAATCTGTTTTGGTAACAAAAGCTCATGCCATAGGTGGCTTGGAATGTTTGACACCTGTGCATCGGAAATTTTTTTTGAACACCTCCTTCCAACAATTATGGTACAGATAAAGTTACGCAAAATAGTGTATTGTTTGTTTTGAGCCTATTTTTGAAAGAGCCCCAAAATACAGCATCTATGGCAACAACCCAACCACACAGACCGAGAGATGCAGACATTCTGTCACCGCGATGCAGCTGAGGGGAAACCTAACGGCAAATTGACACCTGTGCAGAAGAGTAGTTAGGAGGTTGAAATCAGCAGGGGTGCAGCAAAGATCACACACAGACCTCGCTGTTCAAGTTGCTTTAAAACCTTAAATCTTAAATTATATAAAATTCTGCAACTTCAAATATGTGTTTTTTTTCTATATTTGATTTTAAAAATACAGATAAAACTGAAAAAGGCATCAAATGAATGAAACTGACCAAATGTACAGAAGTAGAACCAAAAAGCAACGCTACGCCTCTAATTACAAGTTTAAAAAGCGCATCACTCTATACTTCAATTTTCCACTGAAGCTTTTTCAAAATGATCCCAGAGGGAAGGAGTAAAGAAGAGAAATAGCCTTTCGTCTTTTATAAAGGTTAATAGAAAAAAGAACAAAATAAATCTGAATAAAAACAAAATCGCTTTCATCTCTGTGGGGAACCTAAATCCTCAGTGCTGCTGCTGCCAGATTTTAAATTAAAAAGGTGGAGCGTTGTGATGCTCAAACAGCACAGTAATGTGCCGTGAGCAGACGGATGCTCGCTCATGCCTGAACATTGTTCATGAACCTTTTTGCCTTTTGGATGAACCAAACTAATGAAAAACATCATATCAAACACATAGACCCACAGTAACAATAACTAATGGGAATCCTTTGGTACTATGTGGCTGATTAGACCTTAGGCACCTGTTCAATCAAAACCCTAAAAGCAAATGTATAAAGGATAGAGTTTGCAGTCAGAGTTTTTTCATATTGCTCATAAAAATTAGAAAAACAAACTTATAATTATCTGCACTCTGTCAGTACTCTAAATTAATAATTAAGTATTGTCTTAAAATTATACCTGAATCATTAAATATTTGTTTTAAGCTAAACTCAGGTGTGATGGTGCCGGATAAAAAACAAAATAAAACATGGTGGTGTAGCATGATGCTGTGGGACTTTTTTTCTTCAAAGCTGGTTAGAGGTGATAAAAAGGTTGATGGATTTAGAGGCGCAAACCGCTAGGTTTTGCTAATCAGTAAAACACATGGACTTTCACTTTCAAACAGGACAAACAGCTTCAGCTACAACAGAATTGTACAAATCTAAATCCTTTTATATGATTAAATGGCCTAGTCAAAGCCCAGCTCTAAATCCAAATGGTAATTATCTGGGGTCGGGTTATTGGTGTAGCAGCTTCAGTAGGGACATCTTCTTTCAAAAGGGTAATGTAAATGGGGCTATAGTCCCTCCAGTGTGTCCTGGGTCTCCCTCTGGGCCTCCTCCCGGTTGGACATGCCTGGAACACCTCACCAGGGAAGCGTCCAGGAGGCATACTAACCAGATGCCCGAGCCACCTCAACTGGCTCCTCTTGATGTGGAGGAGCAGCAGCTCTACTCCGAGTCCTCCCCGGATGACTGATCTCCTCACCCTATCTCTAAGGGAGGCCGAGCCCCACTATGGAAATAGCTACTTTCAGCCTTTTGTATCTAGGATCTCGTTCTTTCGGTCATGACCCAAAGCTCATGCCCATAGATGAGGGTAGGAACGTAGATCGACCTGTAAATCAGGAGCTTTGTCTTTTGACTCAGCTTTCTCCTCATCACAACAGATACATACAGATACACGCTTCACAGCAGACGCTGCACCGATCCGCCTATTGATCTCCTGCTCCATCTTCCCCTCATTTGTGAACAAGACCCCAAGATACTTAAACTCCTCCGCCAGGGGCAGTACATCCCCCCCCAACCCGGAGAAGGCACTCTACCCTTCAAGACCATGGTCTGGGATTTGGAGGCACCGAGTCCAAGTTATGTTAGGAAAAAAAAAAAAAGAGTGGTGTAGAATTCAGGTGTTCTGACCTTTAGGAGTGACAAAACAATGCAAGTCACACTTGCATTAATTATAAAAAAATGTAAGGAACCCTGGTATTTTTATTCATATGTTAATTGATACTAAACAGAAGATCTAGAAGTGATTTTCCTGTTCTAACTTTATTTTACATATTGGTTCTTACTTCATATCCATATTTCATGGTTCCCACTCAGAAAGGGTCTTTAAAATTTCCAGCCAATTAATCTTGTTCAGGTGAATCAACACCAGTTTCAGGAAAGCAGGAAGGAACATATTCAGGTTTCTTGAGTGAGAACCCTTTACGACCCTCACGGTGGTATTTTCTCACTACAAAGAACTCACAGTTATCGCTACATCTCAGACTCGGGAGGCTACTTTGGAAACTAAAAGTCTCCTCCAGCTTAATGGGATAATAAAACCATAATGGACCTAAGAAACCACACCAGGAATGAAGTCATGTTGGTACTGCTGCCTCAGAGAGCAGATCACAGAGCCGGAGCATTAAGGAGGCACAAGCAGCTGTGATTAAACCAAGGGATGATGATGATCCTCTGCTTTGACACGGCCTCATTTGGTCTCGTGGTTGCCTGCATACCTTGGCTTCCAGCGGGCAAAATACCCCTAGGGTTCCTAAAATACACAGCAGGCTTATCCAGTCAGTGAGCAGCAACGAGGCCAGGCTGCAAGCCTGAACAAGCTGGTCAGCAGAGCAATACTCAAGTAGCAGTAAGGTGGGGAGGTATGTCAGCTGCAGCTTATTTTGCTAAAAAAAAAATGTAAAGTTTATTTAGTAACGGTATAGTTCTATTAAAAACGGATATAGAAGAAATATAAATTAGCGAATACTTTAATGCATTTGGACTATCTCATTTGCTGCAACCTGTTGTCTTTATTTAGCCAATCCTGAATCTTAAGAGCACTTCTAAAAGAGCATTGGAGTTAATTTGGGAATCAAGGCTGATAAGGCCACTGAGGTCACCAAGGTTGAGTTGAGGTATGCTGAGAATAAAGATGTTGACGAATCACAATGTCATGACTGACACCTAGTGGCCACACACAGTCACTGCATGTCAGTAAGTCAGGTTCTAATGAGGTAAAACTATTACCGTATTAAGGCTCATTTCAATTATCTACCATTTATTAGTGTTACTACTAGCTACAAAAATTACATTTCCTATCACAGGAAAATATTTTTTTAAACAGAAATAGTGTGTCTATGCAATGTCCCCATTAATCATTAGTGTCTCATTTTGCTCATTGAATTTGAGTCAAGCAGTCAAAAGGTCATAACCCAGCCTTAAAGGTACACAGTGCCGTATCCTGGCATTTCAGTTTAAGGTTAAGTGGAAGGAAAAGGTATTCCAAAGAATAAAAAAGGTGCACAAGAAAACTGGATAGCAAGATTCCTGAGAAAAATGTAGAGCAAACCATATTTAGGATTTTCCTTGTTAAGCCACTTCTGAACTCACCATTTAACTTTAGCTGAAAATGAAAATGCTGGACCATTGTTGGAAGAATGAAGGACAGAATCCACATTGTTTAGAGTCCAATGTAAAGCTTCCAAAAGTCCCACATGAATTGGGTGCCATGTATTTGTGTTTTCCCGCTTTATTTGATCAGAATCTACAGCTTTTCCTCCCAAACCTCCATCTTTCTAGAGACGCACATTAGTTACAGGGCGAGTAAAACCAACCTAAACTTCCGAGGCCCCTCCCCTAAACTCCAAAAAGTTATTCAAAGGTTGTACTTTCTGAACTGATCCTATACAATTACAACATCAAACCAAAGAAACATCTGGGCACAGATGTGTGTGCATGACATCAAATCTTTAATTTTAAAAACTTCCTTGATCGTTGCTAACCAGGCACAATCAGAAAACATGAACAATGCACTGGATTGACGTTGGTTTAAATAATGGAGGTGAAAACATTAAACAGCACAGAAAGTCTTTGATTTTTTTTCCACCATTAGTGTATTCTAAAACAAACCATTATGAACTGCAGCAGTTATAGATTTGAACCAAGTCAAAAGCTGGAAGTCTTTAGATTCGTCTGATTACAAATACCCTAGCCTGCATCATCCCCCCCACTGTTAATAAGGCAGTAAATGTTTAAATGAGGGATCAGAGATTTCTATAAACAAAAAAGTGTTTTAACTTCATGTAATTTAATGATGCAAGATTAGGGTCCAACGGCTCCGACCTCGAGCGGGCGCCGCGTGGATTAATCCAACACAGCTGAGAGCAGACAGCTGATGGCTGCTCCTGCACCTTCGGACATTTCAGTCAGTTTAACTGGCCTGTTCCGTTCCGCTCACAGCTGATCTGAAGCCCAGCAGGTAAAACGGAGGATTGGAGCCAGGCTGTGTCATCATCTGAGTCTGGGGAAGATTCTGATGAAGAGGATCATGCTTATAAAAGTGAAGGAGACCAGGATGAGCATCAGCCACAGCAGCCAGTTCACAGACTTCTTGGAGTGCTGCTCCAGCCGCTCAGACTCCGTCTTCAGCTTTTCAAAGTTAAGGTCAGCTTGACGCATAGATTGGCTCAAGGTCTGGAAAGATAAAAAACATAATTTGCATTAAATCCAAGTTAGAGAGAGTTTCTAGGATGTTTTTGTTAAAAGAGTAAGAACAGGTGAAACATAAAGGTGAATTCTGCTTCCAAAGAAGAGACATTTTGTACGTTTTTACTGAAAAATATCTTTACAATATCATTTTTATTTGAACCTTTACCCCTAAAACATTGTTTGATGCGCAGACCAGACGCCTCAGTAGTTCCCTGTGATTTATCTATAAGCCTGTAGACCAGACATCCCCAAAGTCGGTCCTGGAGGGCTGCTGTCCTGCAGGTTTTGGAGGTTTCTCTGCATTAGCACAGCTGATTTTGACGACAGCAGTTCAGCAAAAGCCTGTCAATCACCTATTAATGTCAATCAGCCGTGCTGGAGCAGGGACACCTCTAAAACCAGCAGGACAGCGGCCCTCGAGCAACGACTGCAGACTATTTTCCCTGAATTTACTTCAGAGGTTCCTGCGCTGTTCAGCAGACATGACGTCAAGGATGTCCATGTTAAATGGGTTAGATCTAAAAAACAATTGAGGTTTTATATTCAAAATGAATTTTGTGGATAGACACCAATAACTCCACATAAGATGAAAAAAGTAAAACAAAAAAATTGCAGTTCTGTGTTTTGGCCACAGGTGGCAGTATCATTAGAAAAAGCCATCATGCCTTTTTAACCCTTTCAGAGTGTATGTAGGTGTATTGGCTGAAGGCGTCTCCAGCAAGGTTTAAAAGGTTGTGTAATTTTCATTAGATTGTATTTATATTTGGATTTTCACTTCTGATTTTCAACTCTATTTTAGTTTTTTAGTTTTTTGTAACATCTGTTAGCTAGTTTAGTTTTTATTTTTAAGGTTTAGTTTCAGTGTAGTCCTTTTTTAGCTTCAGTTTTAGTTTAGTCATACATATTGGGGGCAGGACTACTGGTGGTAGGAGAAAAAAAAAAGCAAAACAGAAACCTGAGACTTAAACTCATACTAATGCATTATCATAAAGATATAAAACAAAAACTAGACATTTCCTCTAAATCTTTTTTTTCCCCCCCTTCTAGTTTTTATCTCAATAAAATTTTTTTTCCCTAAATCTAATTTTCGTTATTTCGTTTGTTTAAGTTAATGATAATATTTCTGGTTTCCAGTCTTCTTTTTCTCACCTCTTCTAACAGATGCAGATATTTTGACCCAACTGTCCAACATCAGCTGCACCCAGGGAATCGTCTTTTTAACAACTGTGGGATCAGTTAGCTGGACCTTTATCAAATTAGCTCAGTCACAAAAAAAATACAGGCATGTTTTGCAAAAATTTAGATTTAATTTTGCTCTACTGCAAACCCTGAATTAGATAATATTTAGTTCTGATGTATTTAGGCAGCAGAACGCTGTAGCTACCTGATTGTCCTGTTTGATGATGTTTTGAGCTGCCAGAGTGTTGTTCTTCAGATTCCTGGCTAGGTTGAGCATGTCCTCTGCCAGTTTCTCCTGCAGGTTGTGATGGTGTTGCAGGACGGCGTCCAGCTCGGCTGCCGACTGGCGCTCATCCAGAGGAAGGCCTCTGCGTGATTTTTAAAGAGTTGAGATGAGTCAAGAGAATCGTTGGGACATTTGTTTTGTCAAACAATGATGTTACCTTCTATTTCTTAGGTCTCCATCCGTCGTACCTGAAAACATTGACACCTTCTTAGAACATCCATTATGTAAACATGATAAAAACTTCTTAAAAGGTCTGAAAATTTAAGAGGTCTCTTACCTTTAGCAGACAACCGCTGCAGAGTGAAAACATAATAACACGATTTTAAACATATTACAGCTCTTTTAAATATATTTGTTTTCATAAAAGTTATATCAGAAAGTCAACTATTTGTCATCTCACCGTGCCGAGCAGCTCGTCTCTCATCTCCCCTGTACATCTGGCCTTCGACTGAATGTGAACTGTTTTAGTGGCTGGCATCCTCTCATTGGCTATCGTAGGCGTACGACCTGGAGCAAGGAACTGATTGGCTAAAGCCTTTTCTGTTGGTGACGGCTAAGAAAGAGCAGCGGAGACAAGAGAAACACAACATTATCAGAATGACATAAAAAAAGCTTCTTTAGGTTGGAATCATAGAGTTATCCTTAAAGGAATAGTACACCCAAAACATGATTAGCCTTCATTTTCTACTCACCTCCATGCTGAACAACACTCTGGAGTACTTTTTTGATATCTCAAATGCATCTGGAGATCTGGGAGGCTTCTTGCTGTCTGCTGACATTCAAATAATGGAGGTCCATGGCGCCCGAGACAGAAAGGTCCATAAAAGTCCACAAAAACGTGTCAATATTCCTCCATACTGCTCGTCCAATGTAATCCAAGTGTCCTGAGTGGGTAGCATCCAGAATTTACTCGAAACGAAGTCATTTAGAATGTTTTTAGAGCATAAACAGTAGTGTATAGGATTTCCTAATAGCGCCCCCATGCGCGCTCACGATTCTACGGAAGCCGGCAGACCAAACCAGCGCATTCAGCTCGGCAAAGAACTCATGCTCTTCCTCAACACTGAAGTCCTCAGACATTTTTCTTTCGTTGTTTCTTTCTTTGCACAGGTAAACAGCACATTTCTTCTTCTACGCTTGCATTATCGGCAGACCAGACGCTGAATGCGCACTTTCTTCCGGTTTGGTCTGCCGGCTTCCGTAGAATCGTGAGCGCGCATGGGGGCGCTATTAGGAAATCCTATACACTACTGTTTATGCTCTAAAAACATTCTAAATGACTTCGTTTCGAGTAAATTCTGGATGCTACCCACTCAGGACACTTGGATTACATTGGACGAGCAGTATGGAGGAATATTGACACGTTTTTGTGGACTTTTATGGACCTTTCTGTCTCGGGCGCCATGGACCTCCATTATTTGAATGTCAGCAGACAGCAAGAAGCCTCCCAGATCTCCAGATGCATTTGAGATATCAAAAAAGTACTCCAGAGTGTTGTTCAGCATGGAGGTGAGTAGAAAATGAAGGCTAATCATGTTTTGGGTGTACTATTCCTTTAACTCTGAGTTTTTGGACAAATAACCATATTTTTTTGCCTGATTTAGTGATAAATACAAAAGAAAGCTCATTATAGTGGGGCATGTTAAAATTAAAAAAGTTAAACAAGGTTCTAATGGATCCTAGTGATGTATTTGAAACATTAGGAAAGAAGAAAGTCCTTGCTAAATGTAGTGATTTTTCACATAATTTACATTGTTATGGTGATAACAGCTGGTTTTCGTTATTTAAAAAGTCAAATTGATCCATTTTGTAAAACTAAAATCAGGTGTTACAGAGACAGAGATATGAAGACCAAAAGAATTCAGGGACACCTTAATTCTTATGATCTCAATTCAGACAAAATACAACTATAAAAGATATTTACTTAACGCTAAAGCAACCCAATCCAACCCAAGTGCTGCAGATAAACTAGTCAAAGTGTGCTTTGTTTCAGGACAGGAATATTGTAATTCTTCAATATGAGAAAGTCAGAAAAATGCTGCAGTCTGAGTGTAAATGAAAAATAAAAGCAGAAATCCTATTTTCCAACTCTGGCTTCTAGTCACTTGCCCCCTTTTAAAATATATTTCACTTTTAAAAGCTTTAAAGTGATCAAGCAGTCCACTGACTTTAATAAGGGAAGTTTTATATGTCAAGTTAAACTGGAAAGCATTACCTCATAATGTCACGATTGGACTGTATGGAGTAAATGAGTCCAGTTTGAATTATTAGATGTAGAATGAATGAAGTGAAAGGTCTCAAATCTTACCAGCTTCTCTGCTTTCAGAAGTCCTTTTAGAAAATCGACTTTTCTTGTATATTCTGTCAGGACCTCTTGTGTTGGTTTGCTGCAAGAAGACAACTACTGATGGATCAAAATGGTACTGTAACATGAATGTGTTCACAGTGACAGAGCTCTGGCTGCCAAAATAGATAGAAAATATGTCATCAAGTTCTAAGTTTCCAACTGAATATAAAAAAAAATAAATAAATGGCTGAGATAAAAATCAAGCGTGGTCTAACCTTGGGTTTTTCCTCAGAGCCACCAACATGTCTTCCAGAGCTGCAACATACTACAAAAAAAACAAAATAATAGAAAATGCAGAAACTTAATTTGAATGTTTACCAATTACAGCTTGTCAAGCTTTATTTTTAATTTTTTTTCAAGCAATGATAAACACGAAAAGCAAAATTAATGGGGTTGTGGTTGAAATACCGGCTGCGAATAGAATAAAAGATACAGTTTGCTTCTTGTTATTGAGTGACCTTAGTTTTTCTTGAGCAGTATACACCACACAGCAGTCTAAGTTAAATCTCCTCGACATGCTGTGTACTGCTGGTCAGCTGGCTGAAAGATTGTTGCTTTAAAAAAAAATAATAATAATTGTTGTTTTAAAAAAATACATGCTAAAAACAAAGTACAGTGTTTTGCAGCCTAATATAAACTAATGTTAACTATTAATAAGGTATTATTCAATCACTGTGGATCACTATGAGTCAAACAACAGCATTAAGGCTAATACACTAGCAGTAATCTATGCTCTTATGAGCAGGGGTCGCCATGGCAACTCATTGGAAATGGCTTACAGGTCTGACAGATGCTCGATCTGATAATGGGGGTTAGATATTGGCTCAAATATTGACAAATTAGCTAGATGGTATTTCTGATCAGGTCATTTCTTTTTATTTATTAATATCATACAAAGATATATATCAATCTATTGTGATCAAGAGTTTATTATTTTGGAAGATGAGAACTTTAAACAGAAAATGATACCTTTAAAGGGTATTAAAATTGACTTTTTTAAACGAAAGTATCAGTAAAACTAACCACCCGTTAATAATTGTCGAATCTAGATGTCATTCGTTTAAAAATACAAGAAGTGCAAAAAAGGATTAAAGCTTATTCCCCAAAAGCTGCTTTCTGACGACGTGGCTAACAGAGCAGCTACCGATGACGGTGCATTACAGTTCAAACGTAACTGCTTTTTGTAACAACAGGTCACCTTCTCCAATCTCCATTCCGCTTCCCCTCGTTTTTCCGACGCCATGGATTCACAGCGGGACAACAATCTGATAAAATTAATCTCCAGTCTGGATGACGCCATGTTGGAAGTGAACACTGTCGCAGCCGTATGACGAATGGTGACTAGATGATGGCTGGCTGATGACGTCTTCACCAGTCTCTTGTTTTCTTTTTTTCTCGCCCCACTTATAATACGGAATGGGATTAGGGCCAATGGGGGAAAAAAATAGTTAACTGATTTTTTTATTTTATTTTCTCAGAATTCTGACTTTATTTTTAGAATTCGGACTGAATTCTGACAGCTAACAAACATGTTAGCATCAAGCTGTAGCCATGTCTGTTTTAGAGATTAAACTAGCTCTCTTGTTTTATTCACCTTCTGCTCTTCCATTAATTAAATAGCATCACGTGGGGACCCCTCGGGCACGTAAAACAATTGCCTAATTCTGTCATTTTCCACCAATGTATCACTGGCCCAACAAACATCTGTCAAAACATATTTGTAAGTGAAGCTGAGTTCTCCCACATCTCTTCCTTCATGGTGCCCATCTAGATAAGATCCAAAAATCTGAGATTAAAGTCAGAATTCTGAGAAGAAAGTCAGAATTCTAAAAAAAAAAGCAGAATTCTGAGATTAAAGTCAGAATTCTGAGAAAAAAGGCAGAATTCTGAGATTAAAGTCAGAATTCTGAGAAAAAAGGCAGAATTCTGAGATTAAAGTCAGAATTCTGAGAAGAAAGGCAGAATTCTGAGATTAAAGGCAGAATTCTGAGATTAAAGTCAGAATTCTGACTTTTTTACTATATTAAACTGAAATATTTAAAAATCAGTTAACCTTTTTTTATTTTTTGAGTGGCCTTAATCCTCCTCCATAATACGAGAAAGCAATACATCTTGTTTAACCATAGCCTGAAGAGTTAAAGGGAATGCTTTTAAGATCTGCTTATATTTACTGTCGGTACAATAGATTTAATAATTTTCACAGAATTTTTCAAAATATAACAGTCCATAAAATGAGAAACAGCCAAGATTCCTTTTTATTCCAATCGTCAACAATTATAGATATTTATATCACTCAGGATGTACCTATTGTTCCAGTTATGAGGAACCTGTTTATGAAAGTCAGACCTACTTTTTGGAACACTAAATTGGGTATATATGACCAAATTGAAAGATTATTTAATATAGATTTCAGCCATGTAAGTTTCAATATATCATTCTTCACCTTCTTTATCTACCTTCTTTATAAGTTTTAATCGTGTCATTTTTGCTTGTGTACTGATTTTTATTTTTCCAGATGAAGTTAAAATTGAGTTTATAAATACCCTTTATCATCTCTTTTGATAGAAGTGTGAAAGCAGAGTAAATCAATAAAGATAAGATTCTGCCAAAAAGAGAAATGTTTCTATGTAACCATTGATTAAGAACTGATTTACATTTTTAAATACTGTTATTGGAGGATGTCATGTCTCTTCCAATAAAAACTCCAAAGTATCTCACCTCTTTTTTAATATTAATGTTAAATAGTGATTTTCATGGACAGCTTCCAGGAAAAAAGTTCCATATTTGTCTAAATGTACCTGAAGAGCAGAAGCCTTTAAAAATAATTTGATACAATGGAGTACACAAAAAAAAAGGGGGGGGGGGGGGGGGTTTATTTATTTTTGGAAGCATGCATAGCCTAATTAATATAGTCTATTAGATGCATGACTATTACATGTCAGGTACACCGGTCATTGACCTTGACCAAGGCACCTTACAGTAGAACTGCAGTCAGTCCCTGGACTAGCCTGGCTCTCACTGCCCCTACAGAGTTAGGGACACATACAAGTAAGAAAAATGCTCGTAAGCCCACTTCCCACCAAATGTTGAAAGGGCAAGATTACTGTTAATATATTGTAGATAATTTACATATTCAATAATAAAATTTCACAGGTGATGCTATGAAGGGATGGTCATTAAAAGGGGGTATGATTTTTAAGATTTTTTTTTAGAAAATGGGGATGCCATCCCCCCTCATCGAGTACTGGCTAAAGGAATGTGTTCTTCATTTTTTAAAAAGAAGGGTTTTACAATCAGCCAATTGACTAATTATGTTTTGTCCAATAGCTCAATTCCACATATAAAACAGTTTTTAATTTATATTGATAGCATCTCTGCAGCCATTGTGACTAATAAGGGTGAACATCCAAAGCCCTGATGAATGCCTCTATTAATTTTAAACCTATTACATGTACTGTGACTTAATATTACAGAGCTGTTTTGACGAAGCATTTTAATTAAGGTTCCTGATTTTTTCCCCCCAAATCCAAGAGTTTTAGTTTTAAAGATAAATGGGTAATCAACAGAATCGAATGCCTTGTAGAAATCTAAAACCTGTCTAATCAGGAAAAAAACAAACCTGATTGAGTTTCACCAAGTCTGGCTGCAATATAAAAAATTGTTTATTATCAGTATTCAACAGTGATGGGTCTTAAATTGTCTAAAAATCATTTTTTTTATTCCTGGTTTGGTGATGAGAACAATCAATTTTTGCTTCATAGTTGTCTCAGATCTTTCTTAATCAATGCATTCTAATAAAGCATTAAATAATAATTTTCTTATATAGATCCTAACAAAGTGGTAAAAATTAACAGTAAGGCCATCCGATCCGGGGAATTCATCTTACACAATTGTCTTTATAGCAGTATCTATCTCTTCAATTTTAAGTTAGGCATTGCGGATAGTTTTAAAGGCTGAGTCAATTGAGAAATCAAAGAGGATATTTGTTAAAAAGATGATCACAATATACTTCAGAATAATTAGCTGAATAAAGTTTAGAATAACAGGTAGAAACTTAATTCTCTAACAATTTATGATCATTACATTCTTTTCCATTTATAACACCTGAAATGTAATTATTAGTCTGTCTATTTCGGTCTTATTTAAAGAAATACAAGTTATTTCTCTTGCCTCTATCCATTTTGTATGATATCTTTATTTGATTTATTCAAATAAAGCTGATCTTACTTCATTTGGAATTCCATAAGCTTATTTTTTTTTTTCTTCAGGACCTAAAGTAGGTTTAATGCAACTTTGATGAGTTGCTTAAATAACTTCAATTACATTAAACGTCTGTGAAATCAACCATCATCGGACATGCTCTGTGCAGTTCTCGGATTTCCATAGACATACAAATGAGTAGATCCCGCATTGACTGTCGCGGTGCAGAAATTAAGGGTGCCATCTTGGGGAGGTCGACCTGCTACCCAGAAGGATGTCTCTGACTCTTAACACCAGGGCTCGAGGGATATTCCCGTATTTATTTATGTTAGCTACGTGTGTGTTTGTCCATCTGTAGGACCTCATCACCAAAAAATATCCCTCCTAAATGTATAACTCTAATTCTGATGACAAGTAATAACTATTAAGTAGTTCTTAATTTCAGATATAAATAGTGCACTTATAGTCACACCTACTTATAGATGCTGTTATTACAGATAATGCTCTGTTTCCTAACCGTCCAAGCTGTTACCTCATTTAAAGTAACTGTTTAAAAAACAATCACTGAACTTGACGGATTTGATTAAATGTGTCTTGGATACGCTCCATTTCCAGTAGATTAAAATATCTTGTTTGTAACCAAAAGTGCTTATATCCAACCAAAGCACGTATCCCAATGCATTTATTTTATAGATCTGTGTTGTTTTTTTGTATTACAGCCTATTGATCCTCCACTGTACCAAAGTGCACTCTCTGCACCATCGTATAGGCACACTTCCTGTTAAAAATGACCATAAACCCTCTATGGTTTTAAATATGATAAATCAGAACATTTCTTTTTCTAAGGGTTAAACCTGTAATTACACACATGTTCAGTGAATTATAAGAAGGTAAATACTCTATGTATCAATGGATGTACATATCTAGGTATTAACTTCTATGAAAGACATGTCAATTTGAGCTAAAATGGTCAAATTCTTATCTAAACTTTCTCTGAATGATTACACAATCTGAAATACTGATGCGCAAAATTAAATTAAAACTAACAAAGCAACAGCTACATATAAATAATTCAACAGGGTTAGTTTCCCTCTTCAACTACAGGTCATTGAACACAGCCTCTTAGAGCTGTTGCTGTTCATGAGCACTGCATACAATGGTATCAGTGTCTTATTTAGAAATGTTGGCACAGTACAGCATGCAGCAGACCAGCATCCTGGACTGGGTCCAGTAATATGTGTGCTTCCAAATAAACCAGCGGTGTCCAAAGGGGGACATTTCTGCCCTCAGAGGGATTGTGAATTAAATTCTGTTTGCCAGCTTATGCAATTAATGCAGGTAAACATTTTAAAATGTTAATTTGTGAAAAAAAAAAAAGGGATTAGTCCAGAGGGGTTGTCATTTATCAGTCTTTTTTGGCACAAAATCAGATCTTGGTCCTTAGACCAATTACTGATCTTGCTGCAGAAGACACAAAACTAGAAAAATTATCAACACAGAGAAAGAAAACTAACCCTTATTTTAACCTGGATGCTCCTTAACAAAGGGAACTGACACAAATGATTAAAAACTGCAGTCAACCTGTAAGGCTAAATGACATATATCCTGAAGTGCAAAACAGACCCACAGCATGATACAGCCACCCTTATACTTCAACTAGATTTCTTTTCTCAGGACTGCAAGGTCACAATTAGACACTGTTATCTTAAACTAATACATTAGTCTTGCATTGCATCTTGCTAACAAAGATAATGCTTTTTCAAATATAAATTTGGCTTTTAGTAGCTTTTACAATGATGGCTTCCTCTCTGAGTGGCCTTTCAGGAAATATATATTTTTTTGTTGTTTTTAATCTTGGACTTGTATTCACATTTAACATCAGTTAGACTTCTTGCATCTGGTCCAAATTCCTTTCTCATATCCTGATGGATCTCTTTTGAACTTACCGTAGAGTCACACACACAAAAAAAAAACAGATGGAGATGTTACCTTAAAAACACATCCTTAGCTTCGCCTCCTGTCAGTGTGAATTAGTTATATGAAACCTTGTCTTTATCATCTCAGTTTTCTAAAATAGTTTTAAGGCATAAAAATAGTATCGGTAACCCTGACCTAAAACTGGAAGGGTTTAGTTAGATTTAATAGCATAAG